GACTATTTCTGGCTAACTCTCATGAAAGACACAAAAGAATTTTATAAAAGATGCAAGTAGTGTCAGAAGTATGCTCCACTGTAGCACTAGCCGACCCACAAGTTGCAGCCAATAGTCAGTTCCTGAATTTTCATCATCTGGGAACTCGACATCCTCAGATCGTTTGCCCCTTCAAAGGGCCTACATAAATTCTTTTTAGTCACTATAGACTGCTTTTCAAAATGGATGGAAGTAAGGGCCCGCACACAAATTACCATAGATGTCGTTCAGAGCTTCATCTGGACATACGTCATCTATTGATATTGCTTGCCCGTGATACTAATCATCGACAATGGAACATAATTCACTGATTAAGGGGTAAAAAATTTCTATCAAAGTCGGAGAATTAATCTGAAATTTGTATTTGTACATCATCCCCAGATGAATGGATAAGTGAAGGCTACCAATAATATAATCTTAAATATATTAATAAAGAAGGTTGAACGAGCAAGAGACAATTGGGCAGACTTACTTCTGTCTGTCTTACGGGTTGTCTAGACAACATCATTAGTGACTGGGAAAACCCCAAATGTGCTTTCCTATGGGATGTAAGCAATATTGTTGGTCAAATACAACCACCATAGCTAGAGAGTCATCACAACTACCTCATTCAATGAAGAGAATCACACCGACTGACATGAGACAAACGGTGATAGAATAATGACTGCACTCGTCCTACTATAAGAAAAGTCAAACCAATGCAGTATTCCAACAAGAGGTAAAAAGGACTACTCAATATTATAAAAGAAATGCCCGAGAGAAGACATTCATGTCCAGTGAACAGAGTTCTAAAGAAAGTCAACCCAACAACACAAGGACAATCAGCTGAAAAACATAATTAGACGTGGACTGAGCCATTCATTATTGATAAAAAAATGTCCTACAAGCTGAAAACAATTGCCGAGAAAAGTTTCACCGAACCTGAAATGGAGATGATCTTGAAATTTCTTTTTCTTAAAATAATTAAAGTGTATTGATAAAATAAAAATATAGGAGTTTTTCATTTCTAACACATGATTTTTTTTTTAAACATAATGTTAATAGAAATATTAACTAACCATGCAATTGTGACCTCAGGTTTGAACAACACTCACGGAACTTAGAAGGTTGATGCACCCATCATCAATACCCTAAAAAGCCGACCGACAGAGGTGTCAAAGAGCCCAGTTGCAAAAATCCTCAAAATTGAATTTCTAAGTTACGAGTAAACAAATTTCTAGAGGTGGTTACCCACCTAGTAGTAACAAAGCATCGTGAATGGTTCCGAGAAAATCGCCCTGGAAAAGGATCGACTACAACCCTACGAGTAGTGTGACAAAAAAAAAATCTGGGTCTATTTAAACAACCAAAACTTAGGATCGCCTAAGTTAAGAATTAACACCCTAAAACAAATCGATGTGACATTGTCCAAGTAGTTAACAAAAATATTAGATGACCGACAACAACACCAAGATGCCTGATCGTCATATAAAAACTAAAAATTGATCCTTAGCACTAAAGCAATGAAAGCTAAGACTTGAGTCGGGCGAAAAATATTTCAACTCAACTAAAGAGTGACGAACAAATTAATGTCATAATGTAGTAAATAAAAGGTAACACTGGTAAGAGTGACTGAATCTTGCATTTCATTCATCTAATTATTCAATTACATGTACGAGAACCAAAGACTTTCATGTGCATTTGTTCAGTTACATATAAAAAAAAAGATAAAAATCCAAAGTCTAGGAGTCATCGGGCCGAGTGTTGGATGATCCGTCATCAACCAAAGTATCGCCCTTAGACTTCTCTCAATGTTTTGAAGGTGAAGGAGCGTCGAAGAGTTTCTTGATCATCAAGGTCAAAATACTTGGGTTAGATTATCCCAACCTTTATGAATCGATCGATCGCCACGCTAGTACCTATTTCCAAATGAACAACATGAGTATCAAGGAACACTCCTGCCAACCTCATTGTGGCCATCTGCTCTGATAGTTCAACATTTTCCATTTGGATAGCATACAACCCACTCAGATGCTATCTCCAACTCTGCTTCAACACACTCCAAACTAAGTCTCTGCAAAAGCCACCCGATTTTCTTCCGCTCTTGCTTGTACCTTAAACTCTTTAACTTTTGTCTTGGACTTTAAGGCATCATCCCTCATGTCCAAATAAATAGAGGATAGTTGATGTACTGCGGCAAGCCCGAGCAGCTGATATCGGTCAACCATGAGCATAGCTCCACAGATAAGAGATTATTAAAGAATTTGGAATGCCCTCCGACCAAAGAACATCTGTAATGATGAAGGCATATTTGTCCGTCCATGGAGTTTGTGAAAACCGAACCCTTTCTACATTTATTAGTGCAACACTAAGTTTTAATTAAGAAAGACCTTTTGTTATTTCTTCTGTAACAGTCTCCAATAATCCTTGCCTCCCTTCTTCATGGGAGGCGAGGGAAGGGAAGTATCAGAAACTGGTGTCCGGAGCTTGGTCTTCCTCCGGTGCTGTTCTACCTCTTCAGCCAGCTCAAGTTCCTCTTCAACCGAACCTTTTTCAAGACTTTCTACCTCCACCTGTCTAGATGATACAGTTGGCAACTGTAGAGAGGGTCAACTGGCCTCTTCTCTTTCAGTAAAAGAAATGAAGCCTGAAGAAGACAACCGAGAATCTTCCTGTATTGATGGACACTCGGAGGACTTCCCAACCTTTGATGCAAGGATTGTGGGAGTTGATTCCTTTTGGTGGTAATCTCTCAAAGATCCTAAATTCATCAAATAAGGTTTTCATCTGATTAGAATTATTTTTTTAGTGACTTTGTTCTGAATAACAACTTTGGTTTCATATACGTAATGCATTAATTCTGAACCTGGGGTTATCTTTCCTGCTTGGTCCTTCTCCTCTTCCTTGACCTCTCTTCTCTTTGTCAAAGATGCACCACCTTTCTTCTTCCTCAACTATTTCCTCAATAGCCGCACGGCTTTTTCAAACTGCCTTTTCTCCTTCGCCTCATTGAAGGTAGCCCACAATTCAGGGTTCATTGACCAAACTTGGCAAGGTCTAGCACCTAATTCACCGCCATGGAGTAGGTATATTGGATAATTGACATTTTCTTACCCATGATGGTCGATGCAAGCCCTTGAATTTGAGGTGAAATCCTCTTCTTTTTCATTTAAGGCCCTCTGATCAGCCTGATAGCGATTCTAAGGTTCTCGCATAAACCCGAGAGGAATCAGAGCTTCCAATCCTTTATCTTGTTTCCCAAGTCGATCAGGTGAAACTTCTCGGTCAAGCCAAAAACAACGTATCTGTCTAGCTCCACTTTGAAGGAAAACATATGGGAACTCCCGGGACCATAGGATCTCCATTTGACACAACTAAATGGTTAAGGTCATCCTAGCCGCGATCAAATTCAACTTTATATGAGTGGAGAAGACCTTGTATAAATTAAGTATCAACCAAATTTCGAGGTAGAATGACAGCTAGAGTCCCCACTAGAAATGATCCCAGTAGAAAATCAAATCATCCTCTAAGTACTCGGTTGCCCTCACCTATGGCTTGACTGCCTCAAGTACTTCACTTGTGTTATACACACAAATATCCTCCGCAAGACTCACATCAAACAATATTAGTATAGTCCTTTCGATTGCTGGAACGAAGGCGAACAAATGTAGAGAACACTTGGAGGTCATGGGAGCTCTGGAAGAAAACAGACCAAATGGAAGGAAAAAGTGAATAATGAAAAAGACCAAACCAATTTTACATTTTAACCCTATATATATTATATCCAAAGGAGTCAAAATAACTTGAATTTGTACCTCTATCTTCGGAGATTCACATCAAATTGACATGAAAATAAAGAAAACAAAATGATGAAAATTTTTCAAAAATTAGTAAAAAAGCAAAATTTATTTGACAAAATATTTTACAAACGGGACTTCGGCCGCCTCGGGCAACACCAAACCTCTACTCAGAAGACTATGATACAAGACACTCCCTACAAACTTAAATTTTTTGATGAGCTGCAGGTTGGCTTCCATGCAGTCATAGCACCAAGGGGCCAGGCTATGGGCACTTACGTGCACATTGATTGTTCCTAGACCGAGAAAGTGGAATTCCTGCACCCAAAGTGGGAAAGTGGGCGCTTAGGTGCCCATTTCTTGCGCTAAGGCGCCTGCTTCCAGAGAACTGGGTGCCCAGGTGCCCAAATCCCTGCGCCTAGGCGCCCAGAGCGGTTTTCACGAGAATTGTATTTTTGTCACGATTTTGGGTAGCGTATATGCAGAGTTTGAGCGTAAATTTTCCTATTTGTTCATCAACAAAATCTTGGTGAAAAGAACTCTGGTGTTTTTTGACGTGTGTTTTTGCGTCGAATCAATAAGTGTGAGTGTGGAGAAGAAACTTGAGTGAATTTTTGTAAAACACTCTGAAATTCATAGTAAAATTGTTTGGAGAATTCTCAACATCATTCTTTCCTAATATGCCTCTACCAAATAAAAATTTTATGCAAGAAATTGATTTAGAGCTATTAGAAGTCACATTTTTGCTCTATAAAATTATAAAATTCTCAAATGCACTTTTTAAAATATGCTTTTTTCAATTAAACCATATGTCTAATGATTATACAAAATATTTTTCAAAAGCTATTTTAGTTAACAATTTTTATTTGCTTCTCTATAGGTAAGGGTTGGCATAAGCCTCCTACCACAAAAAAGCAATTAAACCTGAACATATAATTAATAAGTTGTAAGCTGTTCAACACAACTTGACTTATTCACTTAATTGGTTTTTCAAAAAAAAAAAAAAAGTGTTGGAATGAAAATTTTATTTTGTAACAATGGAATTCAAACTTCATTTACCATGAAAAACATGCAATGAAGGGATATAAACAATATTTTATTTTGTTTTACATCTTAGACCTTTTTTTCAATACTTCAACAATGCAAGAGGCAATATGTTACTTGTAAGAGAAGGTCGAAACTCACCCAAGCAACCAAATTCTGCTCATCTATGCTACGGGCCGTGTCGATGACTCTTCTTCCACTGATTAGCTCAAGAAGAACTACTCCAAAACTGTAAACATCTGATCTGAGTGTGAGCTCACCAACTGTGGCATATTCAGGAGCACAATAACCGTAAGTGCCCATCACACAGGAAGCAACATTGAAGTCGCCTCCTCCAGGGCCTAGTTTTGCAAGGCCAAAGTCTGAAAGCTTTGGATTATAGTCTTCACCTAGTAAAATATTTGATGATTTCAGGTCTCGGTAGATTACCGGAGGATTCGCCTTCTCATGAAGATATTCTAGTCCTTGAGCAGCACCATAGGCGATCTTCATTCGAGTGTACCATTTTAATGGCTTCTTATCAGACTTCAGATCTGTCAATCATCTTCTTTTGTTAAGGATGGTTTCCAGGAAATAAGAAAAAAATTGCTCTTTATGAAAAATGATTTTAAGTAAATGAAAGTGAAATTGCTCTGAAAGACCTATTTAGGAAAAGATTTGAAGTAGTCTTAATGTGGGAAAATGATAGTGAAAGATTATTTTAGGACGTTAACATATATGATTTGAAGTAGTTGGTAGAGTGTTGTGGGGTTTACAGCCTTATAGTGGAGTGGAGAATAGGAATTAGTAGTTATCCAGTTAAGCTTGGTTGTGAGATATAAAGAAGATTTTAAAATGATTTAAAGACTTGGGTTGTAGATAGCTAGGCTTAGAGTTTATCTAGGATGTAGATGGAGGCGTGGAATGATTAATAAAGGGTTTTGAGAGGATTAGTGATTGGATATTGAGAATATGAGATTATCAACTTTGTATTTTGGTTAATAAATAGAAGTAGTTAGTTAGAAATTAGAGTTAATGAACACCCCATTGGAGGACAAAATATTACATACAGACTCCGGAAGAATCCGGAGTCCGATGGTGGGGCGCCCTGTGTCAAGTGGGCCCCACCACTTTTAACACCGTGACATGTGGCGCCCCACCATTGGACTCCGGCTCAAACAATGGTGGGGCGTCATATGTCAAGTGGGTCCCCACCGTTTTTAACACTGGCAAATGCCAGTGTATTGTGTTGGGGCCCACTTGACACGTGGCACCCCACCATTGGACTCCGGATGCAAATTGCGTCCGGAGTTCGGATGTAATATTTTCTCTCAATGGAGATACAAGAAAAGAAAAAAAAAAAAAACATAAGTTCTCCAATTATGTGTTTTCTTCTCCTCTCCCCTACCTATTTTCTAGAGTTATTGACATGTTTGAATTATTGTTTATCCTTCTCAAACCTATGTTGCTCTTCTTTGATCATCTCCCACCCTACTTTCGAGGTTGTCAGCAGCCTCAAACTATCGGTACTCATATTTTTTTCCTTTACTTCCATGTCTCCAATGGGGACTATTTATAAAATACAAGAACTATTAATCCATAAACACTAATTTCTAACTAATTAACAATATTAATTACCCTAAATACAAAACTAATCATCTCACATTCCCAATATCCTATCAATTAGCCAGAGAGATAAATCACAAACAAAATGAATGATTCTATGCGATCAACATACCAAGGAGATGATCTTCCAAAGAGCCCAAAGGCATGAACTCATACACAAGCAGCCTCTGTTCACCATCTGCACAATACCCAATGAGATTCACAAGATTTGGATGGTGAAGAAGACTGAGCATTAGAACTTCCACAGTAAATTCTCTGCTTCCTTGCAGCCCATTCCTGTCTAGTTGTTTTACAGCCACAACCCACAACCTTACAAAAAAAAAAGAAAAGAAAAAAAAAAAACATATAAATAAACTATTAAGATATTAAAATTGAGAGGAATTCAAACAATTAGATAATTTTCATAATGATGTATAATACCTGTCCGGTGCTCTCTAAGTATCCTTTATAAACTCTTCCAAAACTTCCTTCACCTATGAGACAATCAGGACTGAAATTTTTTGTGGCTGATGCTAATTCGTGAAAGGTGAATGTCTGAGTTTGATGATTGCCATTGGCTCCATCTTTGTTTATTGAGCTTGAGTTAATTGGCTTTGTTTTGTCTGAACAGAAAGGTTGAAATTAATGTATGTGTTCTGAAAGGTCAAATGACATTAATAATTATGTAAATATCCAGTATAAACTAGAGTTAACACTACTTCGTAGGGTAAGTAAATGGAGAAGATCTGAAAATATATTCTCATACATACCACCCAATTCTTATGTATTTACCTATCTAACACCTGAAGTTTACATTTATACCAACATGTTAATTCTTAAAAAAGTTAAATACATCTTTTCATGCATAGATGTGACATAAAAATTGAAGTTTAGGTGTTAGATATGTAAAGACACAGGACTTAAGTGGTATGCATGTAAATCTTCCAACTAATAATGACAATCTTAGTTTGGCTTTCTTCTTCATCTTTTAATTCTTGCAGTAATCATCATTATTAGAACGAAGGCGATTGTCTCATTGCCTAATAACTATATTAAAGTTGTGCGCATCTGAAAAATACCTAATCTTGCATTGTTTACAACAGATAGCAAATTAACAAACGCAGAAACAAGAAATCAAGCCAAACAAACAAAATAAACAAGTTTGAATCTCAGAACAAGAACAACAGTTGCCGCTCACCGCTTTTGTTCACCGCAGACTTAAACCCTCTTAGAAACTCGGAGCCCGATTCCCCATTTTCTTCATCATTCCTTGAAAAACAAGGAAAGCAATTCATCATATCTTTCTGCTCCAACAGAAATAAAAATCATCTAAGGTGAAAAAAATAAGAAAACTTTCACAATCTTTGAGAACCGTTCAATCCAAAACCTACAGGTTTGTAGGAACCGTTTCAGATTTCCATGGCGGAAGCAAAAGGGGAGCACCTCCGGTTCAATGGGAGGGTTTGGAGAGATCGGAGATGGATGGAGGAGAAGAAGCAGAGGAAAAGAGGAAGAGGAAAGGGGAAGGGGACAAGGTTTTTCTTTCCTCTCTCTCTCTCTCTCTCTCTCTCCTTTTGAGGACGCAAATGAAGGAAGCAACGAAAATTGTTGCAGCTGAGAACCAGAGGAGGTGGATTTGATTAGCGGACATATTTGAAGGCGCGTGTTTAGGAGAAGAACGTGTACAGAAATCTCTTCAAGAGGAGAGAGGAGAGAGGAGAGAGGAGAGAGGAGAGAGGAGAGTTGGAGGGGTTGCAGCCAGACGGAACTGCGATTCTAGCCGTTGGAAGTCACGGTTTAAAAATGGGAAACTAGACAACGAAGAAACCGCGGGTATCTAAGGTTGGTTGTATTTACAAACTATACAATTTCAATATAATTATATTTCAAACATCTAAACTCTCATATTTATTATATAAGACTTAGGTTCATTAATCCATGCATGAAAATGTGCATTTCACAGTTAGTAATAGCACTATTTTGGGTGATATATGTAAATATGTAAGTTTAAATGTTATACATATAAATACATAAGAATTGTGTGATATGCAAGAATACACTACCAAAAGTTAACTCAATACAATATCATGGGGCACAAAGGTTAGTCCCTTTTATGACTTATATTTTCTAATAAAAAATATGAAGAAAAAGTCAGTATCATGATATTAATATCAGCATGTTTTTTTTTTGGGTGCTATTAATATCATTATCTTGTGAAGTATTTCTCTCTTATTTTAAGAGGTAAGAGTATGATTGATATTTAGTCAAATTTGATTGGATAGATCTTAATTCAGAATAGAGATAATTGAGTTAGAGTGGAGCTCAAAAAAAAATAATCGTTTATGGATAAACCGTTTATGGATAAACTTTTTTTTTTTCATTTGAGATATTGTTTTCAAATTTACTAAATAGTAAGTTCAAATGCTCAAATGATTATCTAATTTTAAAATGCTTGAAGGAATTAGTACAAATAAAGGGGAAACAAAGGTGTACTAATGAATTAGTTTTTTTGCATGTCTGACCAAAAAATGTACTAAGATTAATGATTATGATAATGATAATCTAATTTTGTAAGTCATTACCTTAAATATGGTTGAGAACTTGGCATTATAGGGTCTATACAAATTTTTATTTGCAGACACATGCTCAAATGATATTTTAAAAAGAAACATAATATGGCTTTCAACAATTTAGTAATTATATTTTTAGCTGTGTAGAAAAATGTATTGATTGATCTATTATTGATATGTTGCTAATTTTTCTTATTATATGTTTAGTGTTACTTTTTTTGTTATCTTAAAATCCAGATAATTGTGCATGGTTCTTGATGCAATTTTCACATCTCAAAATAGTTATATATTTGAGTCAACCACTATCACGACTCGACTCGAGGCTTAGAGTTAACCTAGACGTGAAAGAACGGTCAGACGATAGAGAACAAATTTCTGTTATTCTAATTCTATCATTATCAATTTAATATTCAAATAATACATGAAAGAATCACTAAATAATGCAATTAAAATTAACAAGTAAAAATTATACCATTCTTGTTTTTGTTATTGTCTTTTATATAACATTTGGTCATCTTCTATTCATATTGTTCAAATGTTTAAAACTTAAATATAACTTTAAAGCAACATAATGAGTTATCTAAAAATAACCCAGGAGTAATGACACTTCTAAACTGCAATAATCGAAGGAAAAGAATTTGTTATGTATGCAAGTCTTGAAGAAATATATATACATACATACATACATACATACATACATACATACATACATACATATGTAGGTATGTACATATATGTATGTATGTATCTATATGTATGTACGTATGTATATCTATGTATGTATCTATATGTATGTATGTATGTATATGTATGTATGTATGTATGTATGTATGTATATATATGTATGTATGTATATATATGTATGTATGTATATATATGTATGTATGTATATATATGTATGTATGTATATATATGTATGTATGTATATATATGTATGTATGTATATATATGTATGTATGTATATATATGTATGTATGTATATATATGTATGTATGTATATATATGTATGTATGTATATATATGTATGTATGTATATATATGTATGTATGTATATATATGTATGTATGTATATATATGTATGTATGTATATATATGTATGTATGTATATATATGTATGTATGTATATATATGTATGTATGTATATATATGTATGTATGTATATATATGTATGTATGTATATATATGTATGTATGTATATATATGTATGTATGTATATATATGTATGTATGTATATATATGTATGTATGTATATATATGTATGTATGTATATATATGTATGTATGTATATATATGTATGTATGTATATATATGTATGTATGTATATATATGTATGTATGTATATATATGTATGTATGTATATATATGTATGTATGTATATATATGTATGTATGTATATATATGTATGTATGTATATATATGTATGTATGTATATATATGTATGTATGTATATATATGTATGTATGTATATATATGTATGTATGTATATATATGTATGTATGTATATATATGTATGTATGTATATATATGTATGTATGTATATATATGTATGTATGTATATATATGTATGTATGTATATATATGTATGTATGTATATATATGTATGTATGTATATATATGTATGTATGTATATATATGTATGTATGTATATATATGTATGTATGTATATATATGTATGTATGTATATATATGTATGTATGTATATATATGTATGTATGTATATATATGTATGTATGTATATATATGTATGTATGTATATATATGTATGTATGTATATATATGTATGTATGTATATATATGTATGTATGTATATATATGTATGTATGTATATATATGTATGTATGTATATATATGTATGTATGTATATATATGTATGTATGTATATATATGTATGTATGTATATATATGTATGTATGTATATATATGTATGTATGTATATATATGTATGTATGTATATATATGTATGTATGTATATATATGTATGTATGTATATATATGTATGTATGTATATATATGTATGTATGTATATATATGTATGTATGTATATATATGTATGTATGTATATATATGTATGTATGTATATATATGTATGTATGTATATATATGTATGTATGTATATATATGTATGTATGTATATATATGTATGTATGTATATATATGTATGTATGTATATATATGTATGTATGTATATATATGTATGTATGTATATATATGTATGTATGTATATATATGTATGTATGTATATATATGTATGTATGTATATATATGTATGTATGTATATATATGTATGTATGTATATATATGTATGTATGTATATATATGTATGTATGTATATATATGTATGTATGTATATATATGTATGTATGTATATATATGTATGTATGTATATATATGTATGTATGTATATATATGTATGTATGTATATATATGTATGTATGTATATATATGTATGTATGTATATATATGTATGTATGTATATATATGTATGTATGTATATATATGTATGTATGTATATATATGTATGTATGTATATATATGTATGTATGTATATATATGTATGTATGTATATATATGTATGTATGTATATATATGTATGTATGTATATATATGTATGTATGTATATATATGTATGTATGTATATATATGTATGTATGTATATATATGTATGTATGTATATATATGTATGTATGTATATATATGTATGTATGTATATATATGTATGTATGTATATATATGTATGTATGTATATATATGTATGTATGTATATATATGTATGTATGTATATATATGTATGTATGTATATATATGTATGTATGTATATATATGTATGTATGTATATATATGTATGTATGTATATATATGTATGTATGTATATATATGTATGTATGTATATATATGTATGTATGTATATATATGTATGTATGTATATATATGTATGTATGTATATATATGTATGTATGTATATATATGTATGTATGTATATATATGTATGTATGTATATATATGTATGTATGTATATATATGTATGTATGTATATATATGTATGTATGTATATATATGTATGTATGTATATATATGTATGTATGTATATATATGTATGTATGTATATATATGTATGTATGTATATATATGTATGTATGTATATATATGTATGTATGTATATATATGTATGTATGTATATATATGTATGTATGTATATATATGTATGTATGTATATATATGTATGTATGTATATATATGTATGTATGTATATATATGTATGTATGTATATATATGTATGTATGTATATATATGTATGTATGTATATATATGTATGTATGTATATATATGTATGTATGTATATATATGTATGTATGTATATATATGTATGTATGTATATATATGTATGTATGTATATATATGTATGTATGTATATATATGTATGTATGTATATATATGTATGTATGTATATATATGTATGTATGTATATATATGTATGTATGTATATATATGTATGTATGTATATATATGTATGTATGTATATATATGTATGTATGTATATATATGTATGTATGTATATATATGTATGTATGTATATATATGTATGTATGTATATATATGTATGTATGTATATATATGTATGTATGTATATATATGTATGTATGTATATATATGTATGTATGTATATATATGTATGTATGTATATATATGTATGTATGTATATATATGTATGTATGTATATATATGTATGTATGTATATATATGTATGTATGTATATATATGTATGTATGTATATATATGTATGTATGTATATATATGTATGTATGTATATATATGTATGTATGTATATATATGTATGTATGTATATATATGTATGTATGTATATATATGTATGTATGTAT